GAACATGATAAGAAAAATGAAAACTAAAAATCATTAAAAATCAGTAATTCAGTTAAAAAGTTTATAACATAACACCTGATGATGGCTATATATAGCCGAAACATGTCGTAAATGTTCCACATGTAAATCGAGTACTCGATAAGGAACGTAAAATGATATTTTAATCTTTTAATTATCTTATATTGTGATTGACGGCCTATTTTAATATATTTTTAATACTATTTAAATAAATCACAATGTGACGCATCTACAATATCTTAGGAATTTCATTGTTCTTAACGTATAAGTGTTCTTCAGGATATGGTTCAGTGGAAGAATCTTGTAAAACTATCTTGTTAAAATTCACAGTACAAAGTTTTTTCGTGTTTACTTTATGTATTGTTCTCTTTTCCTGTGGTGCTCCATTTTTACTAAGTACTTGACATTTTCATGGCTTTCGGAGTGTTTACGTTTCTCAAGGAGATCTTCGTAACGTGAAACGTTCATATTTCACGCTAGGTTCTGCATGTGAAAGAAGATGAAAACGTCGATGTGACAACTGATGAAGTGAAACGATTTTATTATGGTTCATCTCGGTCACTTCTACAAATCATCTCGTGCACCATGTAGCATACTGCTTATATTGTTCGACTCCTGTGCCTCTTGCTTTGCAGATCACAAACGTAGCAGGTGGGTTCAACATCATTTATGTAGAAAATTCATGAGACTAAAGGAATGTAGTTTTATCTTTCTCCCTTTGTAGCAGTTCTGTGTGTTACAGTATCACCTTGAGAATAGTCGTAGCCACAAAATTAGTTTGTGGAAATTTATTTACAATTTGCATCTGGAGGATTTGTTTTCTGTTATGGAAGAGTTATGTATCTGTTCCACTCAATGGATTAGGCAGTTTTTCCCCTGTTGGGGGGTGGATGCTCAGAAAGAAATGAATCCTTACTGCTACGTGCATTCACAGAGAAGAACTTCATTGTACCTGACAAGCAATATGGAAAGAAACCTGTTCAGAACATGGATGATAGATCGAATGGGCGGCACCAGAAGAAAGGCAGATCTGTGAAGAGGAAGCCTGCATACATGGGAGGTCTTGTTCTGGAGCCTCAGACAAGCTCATTCTGCTTATTGATTTAAATTCGCTGTACCCCAGCATCATTCAGTTGTTAATGAATATATGTATTTATGCTTCTCCGGTTTCTCCGTGGCGTCCCAAGAATTACTCCATTCACACACAGAAGAAGGCAATGGCAAACCACTTCTGGATCATCTGTCAAGAACATATATGAACAGGTCCCAGTCCGAGAAAAGGATGGAAGGATCCTGTTCATATGGACCTGTCGTCAGACAGAACACTAAATAAA